GGAGGGAGCGATGCGTGAGCGAGGGTAGCGGAGCGTGAGCGCAAGGCGTGAGCGGAGGCGTGAGCGAGGCGTGAGGGAGCGGAGCGGAGCGCGAGCGAGGCGAGCGCGAGGCGACGAGGCGGAGGCCGTGAGGCGAGTGCGTAGGAGCGCAGCGGCGTGAGCGGAGGGGTGAGCGAGAGCGCGTGAGCGTGAGGAGCGGTAGCGAGGCGTGAGCGGAGCACGTGAGCGGCGGAGCGCTGAGCGGGAGCGTCGAGCGAGGCGTGAGCGGAGGCGTAGCGAGGCGTGAGCGGAGGCGGTGAGCGAGGCGTGAGCGAGGCGTGAGCGCGAGGGCGGCGTAGCGCGAGGCGTGAGCGGAGCGGTGAGCGATGAGGCGTGACGAGCGTGAGGAACGCGGGCGAGGCGTGAGCGGAGGCGGAGCGGAGGCGGAGAGCGGAGGCGTGAGCGGAGGCGTGAGCGAGCGGCGTGAGCGAGCAGGCGAGATGACAGCGCGCGAGGCGCGAGCGGAGGCGTGAGCGGAGGCGTGAGCGGAGGCGTGAGCGGAGCGTTGCGAGCGGAGCGGCGTGAGCGGATAGGGGGCGAGCGAAGCGAGCGGAGGCGTGAGGCGGAGGCGACGAGCGGAGCGTGAGCGGAGGCCGCGGCGGAGTGGACGAGCGTGAGTGAGGCGTGAGCGGAAGCGCGTGGAGCGCGAAGCGGCGGCTTGAGCGTGAGGCGTGAGGGGGGAGGCGGAGCGACGGCGTGAGGGAGCTGCGCGAGGCGAGCGCGTGAGACGAGGCGGAGCGGAGTGACGATGAGCGAGCGTGGAGCGGAGGCGACGTAGCCGAGCGGAGCTGACGGAGTCTGCGGAGCGGAGGTCCGGCGAGGCGACGGGACCGCGGCGAACTGAGCGAGGCGTGAGGAAAGGCGTGAGGAGGCTGTGCGGAGGCGCGAGCGGAGGAGTGAGCGGAGGCGTGAGCGAGGCGTGAGCGGGAGGCGCGAGCGAGGGTGAGGGGGCGCGAGCGGAGGCGGGAGGGAGGCGTGAGCGGGAGGCGTGAAGGAGGCGTCGAGCGAGGCGTGAGCGGAGGCGCGGAGCGGAGGGTGACGGAGGCGTGAGCGAGGCGTGAGCGGAGGCGCGAGCGGAGGCGTGACGGAGGCGCGAGCGAAGCGCTGAGCGAAGCGTGATGCGGAGCGCGAGCGGCAGGCGGGAGCGGAGGCGTTGAGCGGAGCGCGCGAGCGGAGGCGGGAGCGGGCGTGGATCGGACGGTGAGCGAGGCGTGAGCGAGGCGGCGAGCGGAGGCGTGAGCGGAGGCGTGAGGCGTGAGGCGTGAGCTGAGGCGTGAGCGGACGGACGGGCGGTGAGCGGCCGGACAGCGGCGCTGGAGGCGCGGAGCGGCGCTGAGCGGAGGCGTGGCGGAGGCGTGAGCGGAGGCGTGAGCGGAGCGTGAGCGGAGGCGCGAGCGTAGGCGATGAGCGGAGGGGGAGCGAGGGAGCGGAGGCGTAGCGCGAGGCGATGCAGGAAGGCGTGAGCGGAGGCGTGAGGCGGAGGCGGGAGCGGAGGCGGAGCGGAGGCGTGAGGGAGGCGTGAGCGGGGGAGGGGCGTGGGAGCGGAGGGAGCGGGCGTGAGCGGAGGCGTCGAGCGGAGGCCGTCGAGCGGAGCGGGAGCGAGCGGCGAGCGAGGCGTGAGCGGAGCGTGAGCGGAGGCGCGAGCGGAGCGTGACGAGGCGCGGACGCTGAGGCGGCAGGGCGTGAGCGGAGCGTGAGAGCGGAGGCGCGAGCCGGCAGGCGTGAGCGGAGGCAGTTGAGCGGAGGCGCGAGCGAGGCGTGAGCGGAGGTGAGCGGAGGCCGTGAGCGGAGGCTGCGAGCGGAGGCGTGAAGTCGGAGGCTGTGAGCGGAGGCGTGAGGGAGTTAGCGGGAGGCGTGCTATCCGGACGTGGCGGAGGCGTGAGCGGAGCGCGGAGCGGAGGCGTGAGCGAGGCGCGAGCGCAGGCGTGCAGCGTGAGGCGGAGCGGAGGCGTGAGGCGCGAGGCGGACGAGGCGTGAGCGGAGGCGTGAGCGAGGGCTTGAGCGGCAGCGCGAGCGGGAGTGACGGAGGCGTGAGCGGCAGCGTGGCGGGAAGCGGAGAGGTCGTGATGCGGAGGCGTGAGCGGAAGGCGTGAGCGAGGCGCGCAGCGGAGGCTGAGCGGAGGCGCGAGCGGAGGCGTGAGCGGAGGGCGCGAGCGAGGCGTGAGCGGAGGCGTGAGCGGCGGGCGTGCGCGCAGGGTGCGCAGCGCCGTACGCC